CGTCCGCCTTCCAGCTCGGCCTATGACGCGCGGCTGCGCCAGAAGGTAGCTGTGAAGAAGCTGTCGCGCCCCTTCCAGTCGCTGATCCACGCGCGGAGGACGTACCGTGAGCTGCGGCTGCTCAAACACCTGAAGCATGAGAATGTGAGTTAGGGCGGGCCAACGTGGCTGGCCAATGGGGGCCCGGAGCGCGGTGGGGCGGAGTGTCCTGGCATGGACCAATGGGGGTGGGGAGCGTCGGTGGGCGGAGCCGCTGGGCTGGCCAGGTCCGGAAACTGGGGGGCGGGGTGAATCAGTGGGAGGGACTGCTCTGGGACTGGGTTGGAGTTGAACTTCTCTCTCCTCCCACCTTACCCAGGTCATAGGGCTTCTAGATGTCTTCACTCCGGCCAAGTCCATTGAAGACTTCAGCGAAGTGTGAGCGCTGGGTGGATGTGGTGAGGACATGGGGAGCATGTTCTGGAAAGCGGTAAGAAGCGTTCCCCTGACCTCTGAACCTTATCCAGGTATCTGGTGACCACCTTGATGGGCGCAGACCTGAACAACATCGTCAAGTGCCAGGCGCTGAGTGATGAGCATGTCCAGTTCCTGGTTTACCAGCTGCTACGTGGACTGAAGGTTTGCTACTGGGGGACTTTCTTCAGTGGGGATACACCTGCAGGGTGGAGGCTTGAGGGAGAGGGAGGAAGTCGGGGCTCACCATGCTCCTCCCCTCCGCCACAGTACATCCACTCAGCGGGCATCATCCACCGGGTAGGTGTGGGGACGCCCTCAACCCTGGATGGGGACCTTCCAGGATCTGGGCTGATGCACCGGGCTCATGGCCTTACCCCACCACTCCACCCCCTCAGGACTTGAAGCCCAGCAACGTGGCAGTGAACGAGGACTGCGAGCTCAGGGTGAGGGGCCATGGGTCTGGAGGGGCAGGCAGGAGTGGCCAGTGAAAGCTGAGAACTTCTTGTGATCTTCCTAGATCCTGGACTTCGGACTGGCTCGCCAGGCTGATGAGGAGATGACTGGCTATGTGGCCACACGCTGGTACCGGGCACCTGAGATCATGCTCAACTGGATGCATTACAACCAGACAGGTGCACAGCCCACCAAGGGGCACAGGAAAATACGGGCAGAGGCTGGCTAGCATCAGATGAACTTGCAGAGGGACCTTTCCTGGCGTTGCAGCTGGTGCTAACCCCTATCTCTACCAGAGTTCAGAATAGAGGGCAAGAGTCTATCTGCCTTGGGGCCTGGGTGTAACTGGAGGGTTGCTGGTCTGGTTCGGGAGTCCCTGCCACTTTAGGTGGGCAGACTAATGAACCCCCTCCCCCGACAGTGGACATCTGGTCTGTGGGCTGCATTATGGCAGAACTACTGCAGGGAAAGGCGCTCTTCCCAGGGAACGATTGTATCCTTCACCTGGTTGGGGAGTAGAGTTCATGTAGGATTCCCTCCTGGCTGGGGTCTGGGAGGGAGGTGGGCTCTGGCTCTCCCTGGCTAGTCTTGCCCACGTGGGCCTTGCTAGGGAAAGTCCAGGCCTGGCTGATGGTGGTGTTTCCTGAGCCAGAAAGATATTGACCAGCTGAAGCGTATCATGGAGGTTGTGGGCACACCCAGCCCTGAGGTTCTGGCAAAGATATCCTCTGAACACGTGAGCTGGACCCCTCGGGTACATGGTGTGGGAAACAGACTGGGCCACTGAAGGATTGAGTCTAACTCCTTTGGGAGGAGATGCAGGGAGTGGGGAAGACATTCTGCACAAGGGACCAAAATGCCAACTGTCAGAAGTCAATTCGACTCATGGCAACACTTTACAGGGTCTCTGAAACTATGAATCTTATAAGAAACAGTGAGCACAGAATAACAACACAGACTGTTCCCTGGCCATGGGCACTTGGGAAGGGGGTGGCAGAAAGGGAGGTGCCACCAGGTCTGCCGGGAGGAGGTCTCGTGACTGAGTCTGGAGGACTTTGCTCTGTAGCCCCCTGCCCAATTTGAGTCCAAGAGGATCATGGGTGGTCCACCCCCTCAGGCCTGCTCATGTGCCCCCAGGCCCGGACATACATCCAGTCCCTGCCCCCCATGCCCCAGAAAGACCTCCGCAGCATCTTCCAAGGAGCCAATCCTCTAGGTGAGGCTGGAGGTGGAGCCTTGGGCAGGGCTTGGGGTGGGGCTGGGTTTTACACACTGCTTGGAGGCGGAGCTGACAGCCTCCCTAACTCCACCCTCTCAGCTGTGGACCTCCTGGGAAGAATGCTGGTGCTGGACAGCGACCAGCGGGTCAGTGCTGCAGAGGCCCTGGCCCACGCCTACTTCAGCCAGTACCATGACCCAGATGATGAACCCGAGGCTGAGCCCTATGACGAAAGTGTGGAGGCCAAGGAGCGCACAGTGGAGGAGTGGAAGGGTGGGCACAAGAATATGGGGGTGCAGCGGCCAGGCAGTGCCCATTTCCTACAGGGACACCCCAGCTCTTCCCCAGAGTGGCTCCCACCCTAAGAGGGACAGCCTGCAATGAGTGGGAGTGTTGAGCAGAAACATAGGGCTGAGGCTACTCTTGGAGGACAGGGGGCGCAGACCTGCTGAGTGGGTGGACTGGGCCGGGGGTGACACAGGCTCATCCTGTACCCCCTCCCCCAGAGCTCACCTACCAGGAAGTCCTCAGCTTCAAGCCCCCAGAGCCACTACAGGCACCTGACAGCAGTCTGGGAATTAAGCAGTGAGCTGCCAGCCACACTGGAGCCCGCAGAGGGGCCTTGCGCCTGCCCCTCCTCAGCATGCCAGCTTCCTGAGATGGGTGCCTTCTAACACCCTCTAGGGCCCAGCAGACCTGACTCTGGCCTGATGCCCTGGGCCTACACACCATGCCTCGAGGGAGCCTGTACACACATGGGATTGCAGGAAAATGTGCTGTGTCTTGGGCCTCCGCTGATGACCCTTCTCAGCTGTCTGGGTGTCTCTGAGGTCCTCACAGTGGGGGGAGACCTGGATGCCCCCCCGATGTTTCCTGGGGAGTATATCTGTCTACTCCTCTTTGCTATGTCCCAGCAGACTGTCCCTGGGGGTTGGGATGGGGTAGGGCTCCCCAAATTCAAAGAGCAATATATCAATGATCAGAGCTGCTCACCCAGAAACCGAGAATGACAGCTGGGGCACCCGCATGGAGTCAGTGCCGGGTGGGCACACACAAGAGAGTTGAGTTCCTCCAGAGAGATCATTGTGTGGTTTTGCACTGGAGCTAGTGGATGGATCTGCAGGCCCAGAGGCCATCAGCCAGGACCAGGGGGAGGCCAAAGTGAAGGTGGCTGGACCACTGCCCACCTTCCTCCAGACAGTTCCTGATACCACGAGGGGCCTGGTGCCCTGCTGTGCCCCACATGAGGGACTCCCAATGTGCTTTCTCTTGTCTGAAGCAAGAGAGGATACTGTCAGCTGGAATCTGGGCTGGGCAGGGGCATTTGGTGCACACAGGAATGTGGACTTGGATGCTCCAGCCCCTGGGCCTCGATCCCATTCTGTCTCCTCCCCCAGGGTTGGGATTTTAGGGCTTGTGAGTCACCCCCACTTCTTCCAGGATGGAGTTGACTAAGAGCCTCTGGGGACAACATCCTGCTCTTGGAGTCTGAGGGCAGTGTGTCTCCTTCCAGGCAGGGCCTGTGTGTGGCTGGGGAGGCTGGTGGTGACTTACTACCTCACAAGGCCCCAGTCAGGTCTAGATGTGAAGTGCCTGCTCACAGGACACCCAATAAAGGGGTTCCCTCTTGTTCTGTTGTTCCCTGCTCCCTGAGTCCCCACTGCCTGGAGGGGGTGGGGTGGGGATAGCTTACCTTACCAGTAACAACATTACAGCCTTGAGTGTGGATGAGCCGCAGGAACACCCCTTTCAACCCAGGCTGAACCTTGGTGGGGGCCCACAGGGGTTGGGGACACTGCCTTACCCTGGGCCTCGAGTAGTGGAGGACTGTGTGGTCAGTATAACTGTAAAGCCTCAGGCCCTGGAAACCCCAAAGATAAAACTGGGCTACGTTTAGTGAGGACACGGGATGGGCGCAGAGCTGAGACATTGCCTATCCCAGGAGGAAGGGGACCAAGGGAGCTGCCCTGGCCCTCGCGGGCTGTGTTCTCAGGCTGGGCAGGGCCTCGGGCTGGCGGCTGGCTCATAACGTATAAAGTTGTTTGGCGCTGCTGATTCATGGTGTGTGTGGGGGGAGGAGTTGGGGGCACGGGGACTTCCGGGGGGAACCCCACACTCCTTCAGACCCTGGGGTCTCTGGACTAGGGGAGAATGTGGGAAGGGGTCCAGTGCAAGATGAAGCCAGACACATGCCTGATGATGCCCACCCTGAGCAACAACTGGGAGCAAGTACAGGGCAAAACAGGGTGGGGGAGGAAGCTAAAGGTGTCTGAGAAGCCTACCTGACCAGCCAGGTGGCCTGGGGAGAACCCTTGCTAGGGGTGAATCAATAACAGTCCTCAGGGAGACCTGGAGACTGACCACAGGGATGAGTGTTGAGGGATGCAGCGTGGTAAGTCTGGGAGTCAAAACCTTTTTCTTGCAGGGAAGACGGAGCAGTCCAGTGGGGAGTTACAGGACAGGGACGGCATGGCGTCAGGGATGCTGGTCCACAGTGACTACCCAGAGCCAAGGGTAGAGGTTGGCCAGGCTGGACCAGGGGCTTCTGTGTGGGTGTTGTAAGGAGAAGATTGGACCCCACAGGCCCCACACCACGGGGCTGAGTGCAAGTCCGGGACTAGCAGCGGGGCAGCGTCCCCCCGCCCCCCTCACTCCCACCCCGCGGTCTCCAGCCCCTCCCTTTGACGGCCTCGGGTTTCCGGAGGGCCCAGGCCTGGCCGTCACGTGCTTCGCGCCCTGGGGCCGGTTGGTCGGCAGGCGGGGGAGGGGCCGCGCACTACTGCAGCCTGGCCCAGGTCGGGTCGTGGTCGGCGGCTTGGGGCAGCAGGGAGGGCGGCTCCTAGGAAAAAGCGCCAAGGAACCCCACGGATCCGACCCTCAGCGTCTGCGGCGGGGCGGGAGCTGGGCCGCCATGAGTTCGCCGCCGCCCGCCCGCAAGGGCTTTTACCGCCAGGAGGTGACCAAGACAGCGTGGGAAGTGCGCGACGTGTACCAGGATCTGCAACCAGTTGGCTCGGGCGCCTACGGAGCCGTGTGGTGAGCGCGGCTGTCGGGCTGGCCAGCGGGTGGCTGGGAATGGGCGGAGTGGTCCGGCCCCAGTTGAACGGTGCACCCCGCAGCTCGGCTATAGACAGTCGCACCAGCGCCAAGGTGGCCATCAAAAAGCTGTACCGACCCTTCCAGTCCGAGCTGTTTGCCAAACGCGCCTACCGCGAGCTGCGACTCCTCAAACACATGCGTCACGAAAACGTGAGTGTGTGGGGTCGCTGGCCCCGCCCCCGTGCGGTTGGGGTGGGGGCGGGCCGCGCTGAGTCAGTGCCTGAGCAGGGGAGGGGCGTAGGCGGAGGGGTGGAGGGGTGGAGGGGTGGAGGGGTGGAGGGGTGGAGGGGTGGAGGGGTGGAGGAGTGAAGGGATGGGGGGGTGGAGGGGTGAAGGGATGGAGGGGTGACGGGGTAGGGATTTAACTCTGGGCGGCGAGACTGGCTTCCTGGGTCCAGGCCTCCAGAGCAGTCCCTAAGACGATTCAGTCCCTGGCCTTCAGCTACAAAGTTTTGGTCTGGGGCACCCCCAAGCCCTTGCCTCCAACCCAGGTGCTACTTCTGAGGGGTGAGGCTGCTGGTGGAAGGAGGACTCCCCTAGGAGAGAAGCATTTTTCCAGGGGGTGTCCACTCAGCCCTGGCTCATCTACTGAGTCCACCTCTGATGGGATTGGCCCCCTGCCCTGTCACCTCAGGCTTAGGGTCTAGGGAGGGGACCAGACTCAGTTCTGGTACACAGACTGTAGTTCCTGTCTCGGACAACCCTGCCAGGGAAGGGCCTTCCTAGTTGTTTTCAGTCCTGTCCCTGGAACACCCAGGTGGCTGTCTTGTGGCCAAGGCTGGTGGCTGAGAGCCCTTCTTTCTGCCAGGACACTCTCCCTGTGTCGTAGGCTTCGTCCTCTCCTATCAGGTCACTGATGCTCTGGCCCCTCTTGTGTCCCTGTGTCCCCTGGCTCCCAGCCACTGCCCACTCCACCCTTCTAAGACCTCTTCACCCCTGGCCTTTCCCTACTCGAGGCTTCCGTGCCACAGTCCCCTGTCCTGCACCCCCACCACCCCTTTTAATTCCCTGGACTTCAGATCTGCTACTTCCTGCCCCTGACCAGGCTCTAGTGTTTTTCTTGGGTGGCAGCCGCCTTGCTGACAAAGCTTCCTACCGCTGTGTAGGCGGTCACCACTATCCTGTAAGGAAGCTGAGGTTTCAGAGTGTGGTGGGCTTGGCCCAGGCTCAGCCCCTTCCTTAAATTTGGAGTCCCCTCTTGCCACTGTCCACTACAGAGCCACAGCTGACCTCTATCAACTCTATGAACTCCCAGCATCCAGTGCCCTGCCCTCTTCTTGCTAAAACATTGTCCAGCTAGTATCATCCCCAGGCCCTTAGCTCTCAACTCTGCACCTCTTCCTGCTCCCAGGCCCCTCCCTGGTGTCCCCCATATCTGGTGTGGATTCATCTTTGAGCAGACTCTGCCTTCACCCCCACCTTCCCCCAATCCCTGCGACCCTCAGTTGCCTAGCTCACCCTTGCCCTGCACTCTCTCCTCTCCCACCCTCAGCCCAGCTCTGGCCCTGGTGGCTGCAGTGGCCACTCTTGTCCACTTGCCTCACTTTGGTCTGTCTACACAGCAGGCTGAGGGACATTTCACACTGCATCCTTGTATAAAACCCTCCCTGAACGGCTCCTTACCTGGCCTTCAAGGCCCCGGCCACCCACCCTTCCTCCCTGTGCTCCTCAGAAGCAGGAAGCCCTCTTCTGCCCACCTCAGGCGGTGTGTTCCCGGCCTCTGCTGGCTCCCTCTCCACTCCTCTACCTGCCCCTCCATCTCCCAGTTCTGCTCTCCTCCCTGCATAGAAGGTACCTTTCCCTCTTTCTGATAGGCCCCCGGTGGTCCACAGCGATGCCCACTGTGCCTACGTTTCACCTGCTGGGCACTGCTCTCCCCTAGTGAGTCCCCAGGCTGGAACCCCTCTGGTAGGGCGGCTGGGAGCCATCCCAGACTTTTGCGGGCTCCTCCCTCAGAGGATCCCGGCTGTCACCTCCAAAAATAGCTTGTCTGTGGGTCCGTGTGCCAGGGCTGGGCAGAGCAGCCTTGTGGCTGGGGGAGCGGAGGGTGGGGGTGGGGGTGCCCTGGCTCTAGTGGCTCTCGGCCCTCTCCCCAGGTGATTGGGCTGCTTGATGTATTTACTCCTGATGAGACCCTGGATGAGTTCACAGATTTGTGAGTGGCGGGTTTGAGGCTGGGGAGGTGAAGGGGCTCTGGGTTGACCTCTCCCTGCAGCCCGGATGGGGGTGGGGTGCACACTGTCCCCCCTCCCCTGTGTTCTTGGAACCCAGACACTGCCAGAGCTTGACTGACCATTGGGGCTCCTGGCACCCAGGCCCTGCCTGCCCAGAGCCTGAGGTGTGAGCCTGGGCCTGAAGTCTGTTAAAAGGCAGGGCTAGTGCCCAGGAGCCTGGCACCCAAGTATGTGGCTTGTAACTAGAACCGCTGACCTTTGCCGGCAGACGGAGCAGTGGGGTGAGGGAAGGAGCACACAGGGAGGACTAGCTCCACCCCCACCTTACTAAGCCTACCCCTCCCCACCAGACTCACACCATTTCGGACACATGCTAGGGGCCTGGCCCAGGAAAGGCTGGACGGGGCAGCAGGCACTTTGTCACTTGGTCTTGCATAGGTCAAGGACGCACAGTGGCCTTGGTGTCCTCTCGGGGGTTAGCCAGCCTGCCCTCTCACCCAGGCATCTTGCTGCCTACCCCTGTTCCCAGATCCCCACCTCTTCCCTTATACCCACTTCTCAGCTGTAAGCCAGGCCATGTCCTCCCCTTCCCTCCCTCATCGGTGAACCTTCATGGTTCCTAGCCTGGCCCTTGGCTCCCTGACCTTAAAAATGCAATCAAGTTCCTGACAGGCATCTCAGCAGGGCAAGTGGAAGGGAAATGCAGGTGTTGGAGGTAGTGGGCTCAGGAGTCTGGGCCTGGGATTAGGGGCAGGTGGGTATGAACGCACTGCATCTGCTCCCTGCAGCTACCTGGTGATGCCTTTTATGGGCACAGACCTGGGCAAGCTCATGAAACATGAAAAACTGAGTGAGGACCGTGTCCAGTTCCTTGTGTACCAGATGCTGAAGGGGCTCAAGGTGGGTCATGCAGGAGTTTGGAGTAGAAGGGAGGGCAGGGATGGGCCCCTCTGCGGAATTCTCTGCAGCCCTGACCCTTTTCCTGTTCCTACAGTACATACACGCTGCTGGCGTCATCCACAGGGTAAGTCCTGAAGGGGCCCAAGGGAAGGTGCTGCCTGTAGGTGGGCCCGTCCAGTAGGTCCAGGGTGACCACCTCTCCTCTCTCTGCCTGTAGGACCTGAAGCCTGGCAACTTGGCCGTGAACGAGGACTGTGAGCTGAAAGTATGTATGTGTGTGTGTGGTGTGTGTGCATGTGGGGAAGCAGAGGGCTTGGCCACCTTTGAGGGACGGGTGAGGGGCAGTGGACAGGGCTCCTCGTGGTAGGCCCTCCCAGGGTGGGAGTGGAGCACATAACGGACACTTGGGCACTGGGGAGGCGGTGGGGTCAGGCATCTGAGATGGAGGCAGCCCCAGGCCTGCACACCTAAGCTGAGCTGGACCGAGGCCTCCCCAAAGACATCATCAGGTCCTTGGGGTCATCAGCCGGGGGGTGGACTGTGCCCCATTCCCTGGAGTCTCCATAGGCAGCTGAGACAGGACCCCAGGCTGGCCCCGCCCACTTCCCCCGGGAGATCCCCCATTCCCCAGAGTCCTCCTGCAGATCTTGGACTTCGGCCTGGCCAGACACACAGACAGTGAAATGACAGGATACGTGGTGACTCGGTGGTACCGGGCACCGGAGGTCATTCTGAACTGGATGCACTACACACAGACAGGTGAGGGGCTGGGGCCTGGAAAGCCAAAAGCTGGGCTCCCTCTCCACTCTATGCCTGGTCCTAGCAAGTGTCTGACAAAGGGGGGGGCTTCTGTTTCAGTGGACATTTGGTCGGTGGGCTGCATCATGGCGGAGATGATTTCAGGGAAGACTCTGTTTAAAGGTAGTGACCGTATCCTTCAGCTGGGCCGCAGGCTGGGGAGCTGAGCGCAGGTCCCCAGTGTCCAGACAGGGTGTCCCTTAGGCTGCCTGGTCGGGGCGCTAGCTTGCCGTCTGACTGTGCACTATGCTCCTGACCTTGAGGCAGACTTAGACCAGCTGAAGGAGATCATGAAGGTGACAGGGACGCCCTCTGCGGAGTTTATACAGGGGCTGCAGAGCGCAGACGTGAGTTGGACATGGTGGGGGGCGGGGTGGAGGGGGGGAGTCTGAGGGTCTGTCCCTCACTCCGCTTCTTCCACAGGCCAAGAACTACATGAAGGGCCTTCCGGAGCTAGAGAAGAAGGACTTTGCCTCCATCCTTGCCAACACCAGCCCCTTGGGTAGGGTGGGCCTGAGGTGGTGTGGGGCCCAGGTGGGGGTGCGCTGCACAGTCTGAGCCCCTCTCACCCCCAGCAGCCGTGAACCTACTGGAGAAGATGCTGGTGCTGGATGCGGGGCAGCGGGTGACGGCAGCTGAGGCGCTAGCCCACCCCTACTTTGAGAGCCTGCACGAACCTGAAGAGGAGCCCACGGTGCAGAAGTACGATGACTCCTTCGAGGACGTGGACCGCACGCTAGAAGAGTGGAAGCGTGAGTGGACGGAGGGGCGGGAGTGGGGGGAGGGGGGGGGTGATGCTGCCTGGGGAGGTGCCCTCTGACTGGGAGCTGCAGTGGAGCCAGCCAGGGACCAGAGCCAGCCCAGGGACCAGCCCAGCCTGCTCGCTCCCTCAGCACAAACAATGGCTTGGCTGCAGGCCGCGAACAATGAGTTCCGGAAACTTTTGAACGGAAGCTCTGAGAGGTGGTGGTGCTCAGTCCAGCCCGGTGTCCCTCCCCCACATGCAGGCACCGGACCTGCCTCCTCAGAAGCCCCCTCTGCTAATGCATGTCTGCCGGCACCTCTTCAAACCTCCGACCAATACACTGCTTGTATCCCCCCCCCTCGCCAGCAGCAGTCCCAACACCCCCACATGCCACCCCATGCATTATTTACCCCTTCTGGGCTCTTTGTGGGGGTCTTCTATGTACCAAGAGCCCCTCCCTTCAATATGGAGCAGAGACAATCTTGCTCAGCTTTGGGCTGGGCTCAGACAAGCCTCCAGGTGGGCTCCATCTACCCTGCTGTCTGCTCTCTGTGGACAATCAGTCAGCAGGCTTTGGGGTACTGGCTATTTCTAGGTATGGTTCTGGCTCTGGTCCATGCTCACACCCTTAGTCCTTAATGCGGGGTTCATTCAGGGTTTGTGTTTATGGAAGAGGGAGGCTTGGGTAGGCTCCAGTTCCGTTTTGTTTGGTGAAAATGTCCTGTGTTCAAAGGGACACATTGAAACCACGGACCACAGGATCCTCTCTGTGGTCCCCGCCCACACAGAATCTGTGGCTCCGAGCTTTTGCTTTAACAAACCACATTGGACACGTGACCCATTTGTGGCCAAGCCCTGGTTGGGAGCACAAACCCTATTACCTCCCATGTCTCTGAGAAAGGCCAGCTTCGGAGCAATGCTATCTTTGCACATAGTTTCCTTATGAGGACACATTCAGGTTAGGATCAGCTAAACCAGTCAATGTTGCACCCCATGGGCACACTCAGAACATACAGAATGCTTCCTTGGGGTTTGTGTGTGATACCTGTGTCCCCCAAATTATGTTCCCCTGGCCAAGTGAATGTGGGAACACAGGCTGGGGTGGGTAGAAGGAAACAGAACCATCTCTCCTCCACTCCTTCCTCCGTTTGGGATGACCAGACCTGAGCAGAGTTCAGGGAACAGGTCTACCAAGCAAGCAGATGACCGCTGTAGGTCATCTGTGGGAATGAGTCTTGTCTTGCCTACAGCGTTCTACACACACTGGCCCCCAGAATTGGATGAGAAGCTCAGCCCAGAAAAAGCATTTGGCTATATTCCTAGGAGCATCTCAGTTCCTGGGCCTGTAGACAAGGCCTGCCCAACTGCCCTTGTGGCTGTGGGTCTGGGTTGCAGGAGGGGAGACTGTGGTCACCTCTTCTTCTAGTTGGGACCTCTGGGCCTGATGGGTCCTAGGTCACTGATTGACGAGCCTGTGCTCTGTGGCTGAGGACTTCCCTCAGTGGATCTCTTTGGGCGGTGTGTGAGGGGGAGACACAGATGCATCCCCAGGTGACTCTGCTCATTTAAGGTCATCTCTCCCCAGGTGTAACCTATAAAGAGGTGCTCAGCTTCAGGCCTCCCAGGAAGCAGGGGACCAGAGTTTCCAAGGAGACAGCCTTATGAAGTCCTCTGGGCCTGGGGGCAGAGGTGGGCACGCTGTGGGGCCCTGGTTAGGAGCCTGAAAAAAGAACCTTCCACCTGGAGGGGGATCCTGGTGACCAGCTTGGTATAGGCTGGACTTCAGCCTACAGGGGTTCAGTAGACCCCTTTAGTCTATGGATCCCCCTTCTCCTCTAGCCTGTTCTGTTCTCGGGCACCCACCTCAACCTGGCTTCAAGTGGATCGACTGGACTTTCTGGAAAGAGCCCCTCCTGATCTGGGGTCAGCCTCTGACCACGCCCCCACCCAGAGCAAAAACCCCATTCCAGGGTGTGCTGGGACTCCGGTCAGCCCTGTTGGCTCTGTACCTTAAGCCGGAAGCCCAGCTTTTGCCGACACGGAGGGAACAGGCACTGACTCAGGGTTACTATTTCTCCCAGGGGGTGGGTCTTGCCCCCCAGCCTCGAATGTAACGGACCATGTGGCCTGTACCCATGAGACTGGAGGAAATAAACCCTTTTGTAGCTCTTCTACCCAGGTTTTGTCTCTGAAGTGTCTGGCCTAGGAGGGTCCCAGAATATAGCCAGCTATCCACAACTGTCCTGAGCTGTGGGCTGGCCTCCTGAGCATGGGTGGATCTGAGCCTGGAGCCCCGCATTACGACTTGGAGCCTGCTCCTCTTGGTTGTTGTTAAGTGCCACCAAGTCGTTCCAACTCATAGCAACCCTGTACAGGGTTTCCAAGGAGCAGCTGATGAGTTTGACCTGCTGCCCTTGTGATTCAAACCGACCTTGCTGTCCAGTACTTTATCCCACAGTGCCACACCAGGATCCTGGGAACCTCTCATGGCTTAGGGACCCAGCCAGTGTGTAGTCTCTGGAGACTCTGTCCCAGCACTGAGACCACCCCCCACCCCCACACTACAAGGTCAGAGAGTTCCTGGGGAGGTAGGGGATACTCTGAGGTTCCTCTGGGCCAGGTGGGTTTTGTTGTATGAAACCACCTGCCCTTTCTTCCACCTCGCCCCACCGCTCCTGAGCCTCTACTGCCCTCTGCTGGCCACTCGGGATCGGCCAAGTTAAGTGGGACCGGAGCCTACACGTAAGCCCTTACAGTTGCCCTCGCGCCTCCCCACCTGTCCCCAAAAGTAGGTATGTCCACAGAAGGGATTGAGCCCCCGGGAATGGGCGGGGGGAGGCCTTTGATGAAAACAGCGCTCTCCGCGTCCCTTCCTTTTCCTGCCTAGAGCCCAGCTCCTCCTCACCCTCGTCCCGCACTTCGGGGATAGACTCCACCCCTCCCATCGACCATGTGGCCCAGGATGGCCAATCAGAGAGCGCCATTCCCCTCCTGCTGTGATTGGCTCGGGAGCGGACATTTGACTAAAATGGCCCAATTGGAGCCTCGGAGGTGAGCAATGGCCAAACCTCCCCAGCCCCCGTCAGAGCAGCTGCTGGCCCTAAGGGTGAGGTGTGCGGTGCCGTACTCTTCCGTACACTGTGGAGTCGCCTTTGTGCATCCAGAGCTGATCCGAGGAACGGAGCTAGGGAGCACAAGGGCCCCCCAGAAGTCAGCCCATCCAGTGGGGTGTGCAGTACCATTCCACCCCCAGAGACCTACTCCCAAGATGTCGTACCCCAGATAATCCCCGTCTCCCGGTTCCTTGCTCCGAGGGCGCGCCCACCCTGTACCAGGAGCCCGCCTCTACATACTCCTGCCACCTGAGGCCCCCTAGGTTTCATACCAGCCACTCTTGGTCTCCTCCTTCCTCTCTGGTTTGGCTTGGTCGTTAGGCCGGATCCCCCTCATTCATTCATTCCTCCCTTCCCAGCACCCGGCCTTTCAATTTCTCCGCTCTGCCCTTCTGATTCCTTGTTAGTTCCTTGTTAAGGGGTCTTCCTAGGACTTACACCAGCCCTTGTCACCCGCATCTGAAGCCTGAGCCTGGCCGAACCAAGGTGCAATCCCCGCTGCCGCCACGCGCCAGCCCGTCCGCACACATGCACATGTGTTTTCCCTAGCCTGAAGCTGCCGCAACTACTCTCCTAGTTCTGGCCTGAATGGTCGGTCCGCTGGGGTCACACTCACCGCTCACTGGCTGCTGACCCGCCTGACCCTGTGACCTGTAGTCTGGCCTCATCCAGGTTTCGACTGGGGCAGTGGGCGGGGTGCTCGGCCCCCATAGCTCCTCCCATCTCTTGGGGGACCCAGAGGAGGAGGAGGAGAAGTTCGGACGAGGGGTGGAACCCGGAAGTAGGGACCAGTCGGCTGAGCGGTAGGGCGGGACTGGGGGCGGTCCGGGGAGCCCCCGTGGGCGGGATGGACCCCTGTGTTGGGTCCCAGTTGAAGGAAACGGAAATCCGGCCAAGGAGCCACACCCTCTAGCCAAAGACAAGCCTTAGCGCCAGTGTTGGGATCCAGGTGGTGGCGGTGGCGGTGGCGTACACGCCTGGGACCTCGTCCTCCGCCTGGGTTCTGTGTACACACCGTCTGAGTTCTGTCACCTGTGGGTCTCAGGCATTGTGCTCTCTCCCGGGCTGTGGTGTGGGAGCGGGTGGTACAGTCACCTGTGATACAGGGCGATTGAGTTCTGTCACATGCAGACAGGACCATAGCTGGGCCATGGGGACCGCACTCGTCTACCACGAGGATATGGCGGTCGCTCGGCTTCTCTGGGACGAGTAAGTGTGACCTGGCAAGGGCGGGAGCTGGAAGAGGGTTTGGAGACTGAGTCTTCCTCCCCCACATCAGCCCCGAGTGCAAGATCGAGTGCCCCGAGCGGCTGACCTCCACCCTGGAGCGCCTACAGCAGTGCGGTCTGGAGCAGAGGTGCCTGCGTCTGGCGGCACGTGAGGCCTCGGAGGTGGAGCTAGGACTGGTACACAGGTCAGATCCCTGAAGACAAAAGTCACACCCGGGGACTATAGGTGCCCACACCGTAGGCGCTGCAGCCCTCTCCCTCGCCGAACCAAGGCAGTGCCCGCCCCCCTTGTTCCCCTCTAGGAACAGTCAAGGTCTAGAGAGAGAAAGGAGATGCGCATTTCACCAGGGTCCCCGCCCCCATACCTCCGGGCTCCCACCAATGACCCTGCCTTACCTACTGGCTCCTCTGCAGCCCCGAGTACATAGCTGCAGTGCGCGGGACCCAGGCCCTGGACCCACGGGAGCTCCAGACTCTGTCTGAACAGTACGATGCAGTTTACTTCCACCCGGTGGGTGCCCCTCAGTATCCCCCTCGCAGAACACACCCACATGAACCCCGTGCCAACACCCCCTCAATTCCTGCTTGTGCCAATGCCCCACGTGCCTTGCTTCATGCCACTGGCTGGCATGGGCTCATTTGGCGTCCCCACTCCCCAAGAGCACCTTTCACTGTGCCCGCCTGGCTGCGGGGGCTGCACTACAGCTGGTGGACGCTGTGCTGGCGGGGGATGTCCACAATGGACTCGCTCTTGTGAGGTGAGGGCTGCATCCCTCCCTCTACCTGCCCACCCACCTGTGGTGACCAGGATGACCCTGAGTGCCCCCTCATCCTTAGGCCTCCTGGTCACCATAGCCAACGAGCAGCTGCCAATGGGTTCTGTGTGTTCAACAACGTGGCTCTAGCGGCTGAGTATGCCAAGCAAAAACATGGGCTGCACAGGTGTGTACAGGTGTGTGTGTGGGGCACTCCCTCTTCTCTCGCCCAGTCCCACCCACTGGCCTGGATGAGGAGGCTCTCAGTGATCCTACACCTTTCCCTAGGATCCTCATCGTTGACTGGGATGTCCATCACGGTCAGGGCATCCAGTACATCTTTGAGGATGACCCAAGGTGAGCTGGGGAACGTGACCCTGTTCTGGGATCCCTGTCTGACCTGGGAAGTCTGAGGGGAAGGTGCCCGCAGAGTCGAGGGTCTGAGGGAGCCATGGGCTGAGAGGTCTGATCCTGGACCCTGACCTCTGACCTGGTTGGCCATCTGCAGCGTCCTCTACTTCTCCTGGCACCGTTATGAGCACGGGCGCTTCTGGCCCTTCCTCCGAGAGTCAGATGCAGACGCCGTAGGCCGGGGCCAGGGTTGTGGTTTCACTGTCAACCTACCCTGGAACCAGGTGCTGTCCTGTCTACCTATCCCACGTCCCCACCTTGGACCCCTACCCTGAACCCCCATCCCAGATCTGCACCCCAGACCCCCTGGAATTCTCACCTGAGCCCCTATCCTAAGTCCTCACCCAGGTCCCCACTCTCAGCCTCCAGATCCACACCCCGTTTTCTCTCCCACACTGGCTCCCCTATTCCTCAGTCTGGGCCCCCTGAGCACAACCTGCAGCTTCCCACCAGACTCAGCCCAGAGCCAGAGTCCCAGAGTATGGACTCTGTGGTTTGGTGGGCAGTGGCCGATGCTGACTCCCCATGACTGCAGGTGGGGATGGGAAACGCTGACTACGTGGCGGCCTTCCTGAATGTACTGCTCCCCCTGGCCTTCGAGGTGACTGGGTGGGGGCTGGGTTGACAGCGGACTGGGGGTGGTGCTGAGACATGGCACCAGGAGGGGGTACCACTGTGAAGACGGGTCTTCTGCCACAGAAACAGAGACGCATCAGAGTGGATGGTGTGGGTCTCTCTGGAGGGGGCAGCTCCCACCCTGGCTCCAGCCTTTCTTGCGTTCTCTGTCTCTGCCCTCCCTGCAGTTTGACCCTGAGTTGGTGCTGGTCTCTGCTGGCTTCGACTCGGCCATTGGGGACCCTGAGGTGAGAGCATGGGCTGTGGGAGACCTCTGGGGCCCTGGGACCCAGGCGCCTTATGCCCCACTCTGTTCCAGGGACTGATGCGGGCCACACCCGAGTGCTTCGCCCATCTCATGCACCTGCTGCTGGTACTGGCTGGCGGCCGGGTCTGCGCTGTGCTGGAGGTGACTATGGTTAGGCGGGGAGGGGCTTTGGAAGACTGGACGGCCAGGGAGAGTCTGGGGCCATGAAGTGCATGTAAGAGCAGTGTACGACGGGGCATTGGGTGTTCTGGCTGGGACAGAAGCTGGGGGGGGGGCGTCCTTAGAAATGTCCCCTCCCTGGTGAGGCCCTTGCCCAGTCACGCCTCCATTTTTCTCCCAGGGTGGCTACCACCTCGAGTCCTTGGCGGAGTCGGTGTGCATGACTGTGCAGGCACTGCTGGGAGACCCCACCCCACCTCTTTCGGGTACCATGGTGCCCTGTTGGAGGTATGAGGGGTGGGAGCCAGAGGGAGAGGGCCCTGGAGGGAGAAGGGAGGCTGGGGAACCAGAGCCGTCGGGTTCTCCTTACAGTGCCCTGGAGTCCATTCAGCGTGTCCAGGTGGCCCAGGCCCCTCACTGGACAAGCCTGCAGTATCAAGGTCAGTGTGCTCAGGCATGGGCAGAGGGATTGGAGCCCCCCAGACGGGGATGACCAATGGCTGTTATGAATCTCCACAGACACAGCCCCCCTGCGGGGTCCCAGCGCCTGCTCCCCAGAGGGGAGGCCCCCACCCCCAATCCCTGGGAGTCCTGAGTATGTGGCGGCAGCAGCGGTGGCAGCGACTGAAGCCACCATAGAGCTGAGTTCTCTCCTGGAGCGGTTGCGTCTCCATCCCCTGCCCCCGGTCCGCACAGCCATTGCTCTGACCTCCACAGATGCTGCCTTGGACCTGCCTCCTGGTGTCCTCCTTCAGGAGGGGTCAGCCCCAAGGGAGGAGACTGAGACCTGGGCCAGGTGGGCAGGATGGGCCTGGGATGGGGCGGGCCATGTCGGCTGTACCTGTTGGTGACAGGTGTGAGGTGCAAGTTTCCCTCTGGGTTTCACTGCAGACCTCATGAGACCCTGGCCCAGGCTGAGGCCTTCATTGCTCTTGGGAAGGTCCTGGACCTCGTGAACAGGATCCTGGATGGGCAGGTGGGTGTGCTGGGTGGGGTGGCGTGCAGCTCAGGGGCTGGTGGAGACTACCCTGGTGTGCCTCCCTCACCACCTCATCCTCTTTGGTGGGGACAATTTCAAGTATGTTTTAAGGATATTGTTTACAGAGAGAGGTGCTCTGGCTAAGAGGCAGGGACAAGTGGCCAGTTTGTTGACCTGGTTGGCTGACTCCTGAGCACCCTCTGCCACCATGCGTTCCCCAGGTCAGCAGTGGTATTGCGGCCACACCTGCCTCTGCTATTGCTGCCACCCTGGAGGTGACCCTCCGGCATGGCCTGTCCCTCGGAGCCCAGAGGTGAGTCCCTAGCCCACACAGGTTTCTGAGAGCATGCTGTGGGCAGAGCCTTGAGGGCAGTGTGGACCACTGTGGCATGGGCTCCAGGGGGCTGAGTGCAGCCTGTCCCTAGCTGGTTCTTCCTCCAGGCTGCTGTGTGTGGCCATAGGACAGCTGGGTAGGCCTCCAGACCTCGCCGATGACGGGTACGACTCCCAGGCGCTCACAGGTCCCGTTACTCATGTGGGTGGGCACATGGTCCCCAAGAGGAGCCGGTGGGTGAGCACTGTGAGGTATAGATGGGGGTGGCTCATGTAGCTGGAGTTTGGCAGAGGGTCCAGAAACAATACTCCACACACCCCTGCCCCCTGCTGGGCTCTATGTGCTCTCTTCCTCTGGAAGGAGGACTCTGTGGCTGAACATCGGAGGCCCCGAGGCAGCCGCTCTGTCCAGGTTCCACATCTTGGTGCCGCTGCCGGGGGTGAGTGGTAGTGTCCCTGAGTTGGGGCAGCTGTGGGGGACCTTACCTGTGTGTGCTTGGGCACCCTGTGATTGGGCTGTGGGACTACTAGTACCACACTACTATCCCTCTCACAGGCAACTGGGGGTCTTCTGAGCTGTGTCTTGGGCCTGGTGTTGCCCCTGGCCTATAGCTTCCAGCCTGACCTGGTTCTGGTGGCCCTGGGGCCATCCCAAAGCCTGCCTGACCCGCACATTGCACTCCTGGCCTCCCTGCTTCGGGTTCCAGCAGGGGGCCGAGTCTTGGTCCTGGTGCAGGTAAGTCTGCTGGGCAGGACACACGGGGTGAGGGTCCACAGGGAACAGTGACTCACAGCTTCCGTTATTGCCTGCCCAGGAATCTAAACCCCAGCTTGTAGGGGCCCTGGCTGGGGCACTGTATGGGAAAGCCCCACCCAGCCCGGGTCCCTGCTCCACACCTGCACCCCAGGACACGTGGGCTCTGAGGCACCTGAGAGCGCAGCTGGAGCCCCAGTGGGGGATGCTGCGGGTGGCCGGTGAGGAGCTGGCCTTGCCCTGAGGTTTGGTGGGGAGGGGAGCTCCTAGGGGTCTCTAGGGCCTAGGTACTGTCTGAGCCAGACTGGACCGTGAACGTCTCTTCCCCAATGGCTTCTTTAGTGACCTCCTTGGAAGCGTGAAATTGGTGTACAAGGTCGCTGTGGGTCGGAACCGACTCGATGACACTTAACAACAACAACAACGCTACAAACCAGCTCCTCTTAAGAGTCGGGCTTCCCGGCTTCCTGCGGTCACCTCGGCTCCAATGGCCCTTCCTCCTGCCCTGTCGTGACACCCCCCAATCAATATACATGAGTTAAACGAAAAATCTGACTCCGTCTCCTTTACTGGTTTCAATTTCCCCGCCCTCAAGGCCGTCTCAATCCGGAAGTGCGCGACGGCAGGGGCGGGACCCTCTGGTAACGGTTTCCTGCGCCGCAGCTCTAGCAGGCTCGCCGGTCGCGTGGCAATGACGTGGGCTGCGGCGGGGGCGGGAACGCTGGTCTTCCCGCGCGAGAGACCTGAGGGGGTGTACCCCGGCCCGCTACCTCAGTTCCCAGACTCCTTCCGCCGGGCTGCGGGGCCCCTGTAGCATCCACTTGGGGGATCCTGGTTTTGGTGCGAGGGTCCCAGAGAACGGGGCTGAAGCCGGGTACGTACGCTTTGTACCACCCGCGTTCATGTGTTCTTCGTCTCAGGGAAGGCTGTGTGACCTCCTGAAGGTTATGAGTTACGGAGCGGGCTCCGAGCGCTCGGGGTGGAGGTGGCCGGGCACCAGTCGCAGACCCCCTTCCGCTCCGCGGGGCTTCGCCCTGCTTGACCCTCTCCCGCTTGTCTTTCAGGGGCTGAGATGTGCTGACACACCCGGAGGGCCCGCAGCTGAGAAGGGGCGGCATGGCCGGCATCTGCCAGCTCTTCGATGAGCTGTGCGAGGCCCATCTGCCGGCCCCCAAGGCCCACCTGCGCCAGCGTGGCCTGGACCGCAGGCGGGCAAAGCGGAGCCTCAAGAAGGTGGCCTACAATGTGCTTTTCACCAATCTCTTCCAAGACGAGACCCAGAAGCTGCTGCAGGCCGAGCTCCCTCAGCTCCCGGTGAAGAACAAGGTCCTCCTGCTCTCCTTCAACCTGAGAGTGGGTGGCTTGGGTGCGGAGGCCGGCCGTCTGGAGGACCTGGTGGAGCAGCTCCTCGCAGCGCCTTGCTGTCCACTCGTGGAAGTGTCCTCTGTCTTGGAGCTCCTGGTTCAGCTGGCGGGCAGCGGGCCCCCTCAAGTGCTGCTGGGAAAACGAGACCCCTTCCTGAACAACAGGCACGTCGGGCGGAGCGTCCCGTACAGCGGCTACAGCTGCCGGGACCTGAGCGTGCTGGAGATGGACGTCCGGTCCCTGATAGCCAGGGAGGAATGTCTGTGTCACGACATGCTCCGGAGAACACTTGGGCTGATGGAGGCCGCACCGGGCACTGGCCTGCCCACCTTTGGGCGCTTCTTCGGGGACTCTTGCGACAAGTTTGAGAGGGACACCCGGACCTCCCTCTTCGGTGCCCTGGTGCACAGCCGCACGGTGGACATGGACGTCCGCCTGGACCTGCCCCCTGTGCCGGACAGCGCAGACCTGTCTGGACTTGTCATTAAAGTACGCCATCTGTTCTCCCGCCGTCAGCGTGTGGGTGACTCAGAAAGGGTCTCCTTGTGGTAAAGGTGGCCGCGTCCAGGTTCCCAGGGGCCCTGAGCTGGCTGCTTCCATCCAGGGTTAAACAGGCTGTGTGCTTAAGCTGCTAACCCTACCCCTGCTGCTGTCTGAATTTCAGTGAAATAAACAATGGAGTGCCTGTGTTGAACAGCACATGGCAAGTGTGCCGTAGCCACATGTCACCAGAAGTGTTTGTTCACACATCTAAGTTTTGAAAACATTTTCTATTACGAGCTGGGTGAAGGTTTACAGAGCAGATCAGCTTTCCGCCCAACAATTCATCCACATTTGGTCTTGTGTCATTGGTTACAGTCCCCACAAGGTGACATCATTTGTCCTGTTTTCACCCTGCGTTTCCATTCGCATGCCTGCTTTCCTGCCTCTTCTCATTTTGGTCTTTAGTTAAATGCAGCTGGATTCATCTCAAATGGCTGATCGTTCTAAGGTGTGAGGGGCCTGGGCTTTGGCATCCTACACCCTCAGCTTTCCCCATTGCTATTCAGTGAACTGCAAGCAGCCTTTCTATTTACAGTTTTATGAAAGATGCCGACAGGATCTACTGCTTACTCAGGCACTCCCTGGGTGCTGACAGGTCCCCCCCAGTTTCAGTCATTCTACAGTGAACCTCTTGGTGTGCACACAGTTTCTGGTGGAGTCTGATTGATGCTGGATTCCCCCGTAGGGAGTCTCAGGTTGGAGGAGTTGTAGAAATTGGTGGCTCGGGGTCCTGGTGTGGTACTGTAGGATAAGCATTGGACTGCAAGACCAGTTTGAACCACAAGGTTGGCAGTTCAAACTCATCAGTCACTTCTCAGAAACCACAGGGTTTCTATGAGTTGGAACCAACTGGATGTTACTGACAACAGCAGTGGCGCATTGTGACTCGTGTGTTAATGTGGAGTTGTTCATCAGTGCCCTTGAAACATGGTTTTGTTTAGCTCTCACTGACTCCATTAGGGGACTGTGGAGTGCTTCTGCCTGAGGGAGGTGGCAGGAGTGGCTGTGATGGCTGTTCTTGGGAAGAGATGGAATTGTCTGGGTGGATCCTGAGGTCTGCTCACACTCTTTCCTGTGGTCTCCAGGTACCTCAGAGCATGGACCAGTCGGAAGATGAAGGGTTCCAGTCAGCCTCCAATATGACTCCTGACTCCCAGTCTGAACCAAGTGTGACCCCAGACCTGGACCCATGGGAAGCTGTGCTCTCCTACGAGGCCAGTAAGCGGCGGTGCTGGGAGAGAATAGGCTGGTATGTGAGCCTGTCCCTTGCTTACTTTGTGAGCCCAAGGGTGGCTTTTAGAAGAGGCTGTGTTGGGAGTGGTGGTGATTATGTGCTGTGGAGTTGGTCTCAACTCATAGTGATCCTGTGTAGGGTTTCCAAGATTGTAAATCTTTATGGCAAAAAGCTTCATTATTTTCCACAGAACAGCTGGTAGATTTGAACTGCTGACCTTTTGGTTAGCAGCCCAACTTATAACCCACAACATCACCAGGAGCCCTGCCCTGATGATGCTATTAGAAACACTGAGATGGCAATCAAGCTAATTTACAAAGGAGTCTTGGTGGCACTGTGTGTTAGGCATTGGGTTAACTGCAAGGTTGGTGGTTCAAACCCACCAGTCAGTCTCTTAAGGGAGAAAGATGGCTGGCAGCTCCTGTAAAGATGGACCACCTGGGACACCGTATACAGGATCACCATGAATTGGAATTGGCTCAATGACAGTGGGTTTGGTTTTTTCTTTGTTGCCTAAGTCCTGGGAGTTTAAAAGAGATACAAGAAGAAAAAATTCCCAAGCTTTCTCAGTTTTTTACTTTAATTATGAAGGTTTACAGATCAGATCATCAGGTTTACATTCAATAATTCATACGGATTCTGTTTCATCTCATTGATTACAGTCCCCTCAACATAAGGTCACTTATCCCAGTGTCCAGGCCCTTAGCTAGCCAGTGGTCCTGGAGTTGACTCCCACTCACGGTGCCCCTGTGTGCAGCAAAGCAGCACTGTGTGCCCTACAGTTTCCACTGGCTGACTTTCAGAAGTGCACGACCAGGCTTTTCTTATGCGCTGCCTCTGGGTAGAGTCAAACCTCTAACCTTAGGGCCTCACAGCTAGGCATGTTCACTGTTTGCACCCCCAGTGACTCCAGTAGCTTCTGCAGATCACACTCTGTCTGCACCTAGAGTCCTGGGGGCACAGGCAGGCGGGGTTCTCAGTGCAAGGCGGAAAGGCACAGAGCCAAGTGTGGGCACAGACCTGTCTTCTTGTTCCTTGTCCTTGTGAGTGAGGTTCATCCAGGTGGTGGCGTACATCAGGACTTCACCTCTCTTTATGGTCAAGCAGTAACCTCACTGTGTTTACCCATCGTATGTGGGTGGGCACTTCTGTTGTTCCCACTGTTCCGTTGTCTGTTTGTACCACGTTATCTTTATCTGTCAGGTGTGGATGGACGCTTCCCGTGTTTCCTGTATTCCGTTGTCTGTGGGTACCACGTTGTGTTTATCCGTCACGTGTGGATGGGCACTCCATGTCCCCACCTTTGGGCCCTGGTAGAAGTGCTGCAGTGACCATAGCTGTGCAGGCTCCTGTCTGCTTGTCTGTTGTCACATCTTTGAGTACACAAGGGGATATCAGAAAGTTCGTGGACAAGTTCCATTACTTTTTTTTGTAACTTTTTATTGTGAATTATGTGATAGCTTGCATGGGAGAACATTAGCTTTACATTCATCCTATTACAATCCCCTCCATGCATCACCAAACAACCAAAGGGTATACCCTGCAAGCCTGCCCCTCTCCCTCTCTGGGTCTAGAGTCTCCGGCTGCTCCATCTCTCCACATTGTTGTCTCTGCCTCCATCTCTGGCATCAGTGTTTCTCTGGGTAGGGTCCTGCACTCCGCTCTTCTCCCTTGATGATCTCAGGAACCTCTGCTCCTGGACTACAAAGTCAATCACTCCCCTCCTTTTGCTACAAAATGTCTACCTTTACATTTCCAACTCTCACAGTCAGTCCTGATAGCAGTTATTCACTATTTTACCACAAGAGTCCTATCCCCATCTCCTTTCATCAGCTCTGCCCAGATAGATTGGATACTACTCACTGGAGATTCTACCTTCCTCCGCACCCTCTGGATCTAGGCTCCCTCTTGAAAGTTTGTAAGCCAGTCAGTCACTTCTTGCCTTTGTAGCCCCCCTCATTTTGGGCAGCCAATATCCAAGTTGCCCATCCTGGTCAGCCCTGTGTACCAAGGGGTTGGGAATGATCCTCACTGTAAAGATTTGTTCCCTCTTGTGAGCTACTGCATCCATAGGTGTAGGTCAAGTTCATCAAATTGTATCGGATTACTCTTTTTTTTCCTCTTCTTTCTTCTAGTAGTCGAGTTCTGATCATCCAGTCATTGAAGCCAGGTCAAGTGGGTATTATCTGCAAGTGTGGGTGTTCTTGTGCATATGCCCTCTCTTCTTATCAGCTGGACGCTTCATTCTCCATTCCAGTCCTCTGTGGCTATGTCACTGACTCTGGGCCCAGGAGTCTCTAGGTCTTGCCACACTGCTGGCCAATCCGGTTTCAACCTGGGTTCACAGGAGTCTATTGAACATGGTCGAACTTGCTCACAACTTCATTACTGTTTTTCCCCCACTTCCCCTTATTGGTGACCAGTATGGTCACCAGTCAGACCATATGCCTGCTCGTGTATTCTCCTTGAGTCTTAGTCTTGGAAGGGGGTTTATCTGACCACTTGCCTTGATGTCTCCTGGGCAAGCAATTTGCTTGTTCTTGTAGTAACAGCTGGACTGCCGTTATTCTTTTTGATTTTTCCTGTCGGTCTTCTTTCAAGAAGTGTCTCTATTCTTCTGGCCACACTATGCTGGTCTGCTTGTCCTTTCAAGTGGAGATTTCCCACCTCAGAAGATTCTGGATGGGGTTCAGGATTCCACCTATGGTCTTATGCAATGCAGAAGCTTCGGAGGAAGCCTCCTTCACTGGGCAAATTGTAGCCCATTTTATGTATTCTAAGCAGTTACAGGCAGAAGATGGATTTACAAGCTTTCTATGGTGATGTTCTTGGCTATTCTTTCTCTCCCCCTCAAGTGTCTGTTTTACAATGGTATGCCAGGGAACTCAACATTCAAAAGACAGCCAAGCATCTTAACATTATTTCCCTTCTTTTATCCATTCAAACATGCCTCAATCCTTGTATCCCAGAGCCCTCTTGTTCCAAGGTTGTACGGACATCATTATTTACCTCTGTTGCATTTAGCCCATGCAAACCTGCTTAACTCTTCTCCCACCCTCCTTGTTCTTCCATTCCCCTCTGCCCCTCTGCCTTCTTGTGTATTGTCCCCCCACCCCCCCAGCACCCAAACTAGCCTGTGTCTATTCCCTACCCTATACTCCACCTTCCCCTCCCTCCCCTAATCCCACCCCACACATCCCGGTAACCAGCAAAGAACCCCCCACCCCCCCATTTTAGTATGGGTTCTTTTCCTTAGTCTTTTACAGTAGTGGTCCTATGCAGGATTTCTCCTTTTGTGACCGACTAATTTCACTTAGCATAATGTCCTCAGAGTTCATCCATGTTATGTGGTGGCTTGCAGCTTCCTTGTTATTCTTCAAGGTAGCATAATAGTCCATTGTGTGTATGTACCACAGTTTGTTTATCCATTCTTCAGTTGATGGGCACTTAGGCTGTCTCCGTCTTTTTGCTGTTGTAAATAGTGCTGCTGTGAACATTGGTGTGCATATGTCTACTCATGTTATGGCTCGTATTTTTTGTGGGTAAATAGCAAGTAGAGGAATTTCTGGATCATAAGGTATTTGTATTTCCAACCTTCTGAGGAAGCGCCATATAGCTTTCCAGAGAGGTTGGACCATTTTGCAATCCCACCAGCAATGCAGGAGCGTCCCAGTGTCTCCACATCCCCACCAGCATTTATTGTCCTCTACTTTTTTGATCTTTGCTGTTATTGCTGGTGTGAGATGACGTCTCATTGTTGTTTTGATTTGCATCTAATGGCGGCTAGTGATGTGAACATTTCTTAATATGTTTGTTGGTTGCCTGGATCTCCTCCTTGTTGAATGTCTGTTCATGTCCTGTGCCTGTATTTTAATTGGGTTATTTGTCTTTTTCTTATAGAGGTGTTGTATTTTCCTATATATTTTAGAAATTTGTCCCTTGTCTGATGTATCATTGAAAAAGACTTTTTCCAATTCTGTGGGTTCCCTTTTTACTCTTTTGGGGAAGTCTTTTAATGCACATAAGTTTTTAATTTTTAGTATGTCCCACTCATCTATTTTGCCTACTTTTGTTTGTGTGGTTTTCAAAATGTTTGATAGTCTGTGTATGCCCTGAATTAGCACCCTCACTTTTGTCCCTATTTTTTCATTGATGACCTTCATAATTCTGGGATCCACATTTAGGTCTTTAATCCGCTGAGTTAGTTTTTGTATATGGCGTGAGGTAAAGGTCTTGTTTCAATCTTTTACATATTGCTTTCCAGTTCTGCCAGCACCATCTGTTGAAGACACTATCACCTCCCCATGTGATATATTTAGGCACTTTGTAGGAAATCAGTTGGCTGTATGTGGATGGGTTAATTTCTCGATTCTCCATTCTGTTCCATTGATCTATGTATCTTTCATTGTACCAGTACCAAGCTGTTTTGAGCACTGTAGCCGTGTAGTAAATTTTGAAGTCGGGAAGTGACAGGCCTCCAACCTTATTCTTCTTCTTAAGCAGTGCTTTGCTTATCCTGGGTCTCTTTCCTTTCCATATAAAGTTTGTAATTGTTTTTTCCATCTCTTTGAAGAATGTTGTTGGAATCTGGATTGGGATTGCATTATATGTATAAATTGCCTTGGGCAGGTGTTCTCTTCCTGACTAGTGATCTGATTAGTGTTTTTGGTACTGCAACTGCTGATACCTGAAGATGTCTTCAGGAACTGCCAAAATTGAGCACCCTGCTCCTAACTGCAAAGCTCCAGCTGTTATGCCAGATGGTCAGTTCAAAGATATCAGCTTGTCTGACTACAAAGGAAGATATAGTGTGCTCTTTTTTTATCCTTTTGACTTCACCTTTGTGTGCCCCACTGAAATCATTGCTGTCAGTGTTGGGGCAGAAGAATTTAAGAAGCTCAACTGCCAAGTGACGAGTGCTTCTGCGGATTCTCACTCTGGCTTGGATCAACACACCCAAGAAACCAGGAGGACCGGGACCCACGAATAGTCCTTTGGTATCAGACCCCAAGCGC